CACTGTGGATTGAATTTTCAATTCACAATCTTCGTGGAGTTAAACTCGAGGAGACATTCCGTTGTTTGACGAACTGCTAAAACAAAGAATGTAGATTCGTACGGCATACAAATGAGCAGCTACGAGGCGAAAGAAATCAGAATAAAGATGAAGGAGGAAGAGATGAAGAGAAGCGTCGTGAGATAGGTCGTTCCGGCGCAGGGATTGCTCTTCAGTCGTTACTGCTGGGACCATCTAGAGAGCTCGACAAACACTCGATGCACCTCGCACGATTCTCTCTGAAAGCACGACTACCATTGTTGCCGTGTCATCTCTTTGGTCTTCCCGGGCCATTGTCCTTCGTGTACCGATCGCGTCTCATTTCGATAGTCCCTTTACAGTCGTCGATTAATCGAGACGAACCAATAAAACGGAGAGAAAGAGAAATTGGGCTGTAAGAATTTTTGTAAAAATCTGGAAGCAAGAAATGATAGCTTTGATGTGCAGTTAATCTTAAAAGTCCATAAAAGGACATGAAACTGTCCGCGCGCGCTGCGGACTCCTCTCACTGTCTGAGAATTTAAATCCTTGGCGATCAGCGGAATTGATAAAAGTACGGACACGACGTCGACCGTGTGGGTGTCACGAGGGTTACCTCGTCGAGGCGGAAGTGGCTTCCTGGAAGATCAGCTGACGCCTGGGCGGTTCGTTTTGTTGCACGGTGAATGGAACATTGGGGACCCACTCCCGAGGCCCTCGAATGCGGCCGGCATGCGGACGGCGGGAATGTCGGGAAGGAGGCGAAGGGTGGTGGATCGCGAGAGAGGAGGGGGTAAAGCAACGAGCACGTTAAAACAAGAAGATTGGAATAAAAGGTTGGCCTGGCCGCGGGAAGGTAAAGCCAGAGCGGGCCCGGAGGTGGAGAAGAAACGGAGAAGAAACCGGTGGGGGCGGGGCTCCGTCTGCGGATGCTGGTATGGAGCCCAGTCCTGCTCCGCACACCATCTTCCTTCATCTCGGACCCAACCCCCTTTCAAGGCAGCAGCAGCAGTACGTGGCCCATCTTCGGGTTCCTCTGCTCCCGCCGTTTCTTCTACTTTAACGTGCCTCTCTTCTTCACCTTTCTCTATCCTCCTTCTCTTCCTCCTCCATCTCGCCATCTCCTTCTTTTCATCCTCCCTCTGCTCCTTGACCTCCACACCCTTGGTCAGCGTCTCCAACTGTTCGGCAACACTCCGACGTCGTTTGTCTCGACGTCCCACTTCTTTGTTCTCGGCGATGGCTCGACAATTTCGCGGACGTTATCTGGGATTTAACGAGCCGTAACATGCACCGAGAGCAATTAGCATCATGCCAAACCAGGGAAATTAATATCGCTTTAATGTCGCTACGTTGATTATATACCACACAGAACGCATGCACGCGAGCGAAATCGCGGACGCGCGAGAGTTAACACGAGTTTACCCACACGTTTGAGCGATAAGATACGAAATATGTAAACGAGGTGTAAGCGACATGCGCTTCGTAATTAGTGGCCACCGGGGCCAAGTGATGAAGGAGAGATAAAATAACATCGAGGCAGAACACGGAGAGAGAGCACCCTTCACACGACGCGACTCATCATCTCCCATCAACCTGACTGGTTTCTCAGCTACTGGCAGCCCACTATTTATAACATCGCGTATGTGTGCGTGTGTGCGTGTGCGTTTGTACGTGTGTAAACCTTTTATTTGTGCTTATAAAAATTAATTGGATCTAACTTACCTTCTAGTAAGTACTAGTAAGAACTAAAAGTATCGATAAACTTTTGCAAATAACAAGGTGTGTTTCATTACACACATTATTTTACAGTACAACAGCCAAATTTTAGCCACATTGTTAGCCGTTGTTTTATTTTCCGATTAGATCGAGAACCATTATAATAAGTGGCCGAGCGATATTCCGAATGACGATGCTCCCTCAAACGATTTCCAGGAAACTTTCGTCCTCATACCTCTTACAGAAATTGGGATTGGCCCAATTCCATTAAGGTCCTTTCTGTGAACTAAAGCCGCGGCTTCCCTTTTGCGTTTCACACGAACACGTCGTTTTCGGGAGCGTTCGGCGCGCGTACAAGCACTCGGCTGAACTTTTTTTTTCGATTTCCGCCCCGTAATTCTTTTCATCCTCCCCCACCCTCTCACACCTTCGCGCAACGCTCCTTATCCCTAATGTATTACGGGCCGGGTCATTTTTTACTCGAAATGGATTTTCATAAGACCCCGACATTCTCGGCTTTGACCGACTCCTTCGCGCGCACTCCTTCTCACTCCATCATATCCTGTATCTCCTCAACTCCGCCAAAATATTTGTAAATAGATGTAAAGTCTGGGAGGGGCCCAGGGGGTACCCTGCTGTGCGAACAAGGCTCCCCATAGCGCACTACGGCCGATATATCTCTCGGGCCCTTCACCATTCTTCCCTCTCTTTATATGAGACTCCTTCGCAGCCTTTTATACCTCCCCCTCCTCCACCTTCTTCTTCGTCTTCGTCTTCGTCGTCTTCTTCTTCTTCTTCTTGATTCCGTCGTCATTCTCATACTCTATTACCTCGGTTCTCATCGTGCAGTGCGAGGATTGTACATACGAAAGCCAAAGGTGCATGAGAAAATTTTCGAGGATCGATTTTTTATTACAATCCTTGTATCAAGAATATGTATTCAATATTTTGGTAACAGGTGAAATCGGAATATACATTCTTGGCAAATTATAAACAATATATAAACGTAGGATATAATTTGTTCGAAGATATCTTTACATGTAAGCGACATTATGAGGTAGAGATGTCTTATTTCAATCGCCATAAAATGATCGATTCATTTTAAATGGATTTTTCCAAGCGAAGCAAGACGGTGACCCTTCATTTTTATATGCCGGAAATATGTCAAGTCGATCGGAACGTTGACCATATTATTAGATATTTCTAGCTGAACCATCAACTTCAGTTATAAATTTCGCGAAATGTATTACACACGAGGGAATTAAAGGGCATCTATTCAGCGGATCAGTTTTAGATACGCCGTTCGTAGAAGTTCATTTGAATCTCAGGGATTTTAATGGAAATTCATCCGACAGCCGTGCAATTCACTTGCGGCAATCGCGTGCACGTGGCGTGAAGGTTTCCACCGGTGCGGCGAGAGGATCCAAGCCCATGAGCACGAGGAAATAAAAAGGAGAAGAGGTGGAGAAGGAAAGGTGGGGCTCGGCCCCCCCCCTCTCCCCGAGGGGGACGAAAGGGCCGTCGTCTGCACTCAATAGGGGCTAATTGCCGCAAGGAAAGCTGCAAATTCGTGGACATTGTTAGCTCCGTTCCATTCTCGGTTAGTGTCGAACGGGTCTCATTGTGGCCGCGTGGATCGCGAGACCGATCTGCTTCGTGTTCAACGCACACCATCGAGTTACATACCGCCATTGAAATACCACCGGGAATGAAAAGGGGTGAGATGGTAACTCCGCCGGAGTGTGTAAAATTCGTCGCGGCCGCAGCGCGTTTTCGCGATCGACAGGCTCCTCCACGTCGGATGGATTCTTCAAGCCGGTGGCTTTTTTTCGGCTCCCTTTACCTCCCTCTCCCTTATTCCTCACAATTGTGCCCCCTCCCGAAAATTACTTTCTTCCGCACACTCGGTTGGAAATAAAAAGTGCAAAAGGAGCCCCTTTGGCAACCCCGGGGAAGAGAATCCGCTCGATTTGCACCGAGCGCCGCGTTCACGCACAAGCGGGTTTGTCCGTGTCCCGATCAGTCAGCCACATGATACCGCTCTGCGTGGGCGATTGCCCTCTGAGAATCAATTTGAACACGGGCCTCGGACGCTCCGAATGCCCTTCGACAATGCCGCGGCTTCGGTCAATGGGGACTCCCTTGCGTTTTGGCTTCTCGCGCCCTCGATACGCCGCGTTCCGGATTAAGCCCGGGTTTACATGGGTCCTGTGCTATTGGGGCCCCTGTCTCACTGAGTCGGCTAGCCATGCTTCGTTACAAGAACGCGTATCCTATTGACTCACTGGAGCACCGCCTGGTTGTCGTCATCGTCGACGTAAAGGTAGACAATAAGAAAGAGAG